ACTTCAAATACGAATGATCTCGTTGAAATCCCTTCATACTGTGGTGGAGGGTGTAAAAAAACAAAAATTCTTGAATTTTTTTTTTTTGAAAAATTTGAAATTTTTAAAAATCAACGATTTTTGTCCAGTTTGTTTTTTGAGAAATAATTTCTAAAAATTCACAATTGTAGGCCAGGAACATTTAAAAAATAATCCAACCGGTCCTTGAATAGAAAATCTTAAAAACTTAGTCCATGTCCAAATTCGATAGGAATTTGATAAAAAAAATATTACAAAATGCCAAGTCTAGACCAAATAAGAAACTCCCTAAGGTCCTAGATCGCTTTTCAGAAGAGACACATGTGTACCATATAAAATTCGATATACTCATTTTATCTGTACGGCAGGAGATATAACAATTATGTTCCTTACACAGCACTCTTTAACATCCTTTTCTAAAAAAATAAGAACTTTTTTAAAAACTTATATTAATTCTAAATTTATTTTTAAATTAAATTCCTAAATTCATTTCATAACTTAACTACCAGGGGTCGTTGGGGGGTGCATCCTTAAAATTATTTGCCATAGGGCAAAGGTAATCCCAAAATTAATCTAGGTGTTTGGCCGACAGTTTGTGCTGAGCCCAAACCGCCAAAGGGAAAACTCAGTCCGCCTCCACTGACGGGTACCAGAGCAGCTACGGTCTGACCATTTTCCGAATTGCCAATGGGAACAATGGCATGGACGTTGGTTGGCAGTGACTGCTGATTGTTAGCCAAAAATACTGTATTATCGGGAACTTGGATATTGCCGGCGAGAAGATTAGATGCAGTGATGAAATGTTGTGCCGCAACTGAAGCTTCTGAAATTGTATTTTGATTGTTGTTTGCCTCGACGTTATTTTGTGCCGCTGCAGCTGCCGATGTTGTTGGAGTTTGACTCTGGACACCATTGGTGGTTAGGGCATTTTGTTGTTGTGCATTATTGGCATTAATATAGGATAGTCTGACGCCATTTTGATTGGCACTCAGACCTTGGCTTAAAACTGTCTGGGGGGTGTGCAACAACAGTTGGAAATTGCCACCCAAACCTTGCACAGGAAGGTTTTCCAGTATGGACCACCACCAAGGTGGAGTTGGAGAAGTGATGGGTGACGGTGTTGTGGTTGCGATGGGTGCGGTGATTTGGGTTTTGATAAATGGAAATTTCGAAAATACGGTGGTGGTGCCTCCTGTGATACCGCCAGTTGTGCCGCCGGTGGTGCCACCAGTTGGCTTATCCGCAATGGTGATTTTTGGAAAATATTCAAATTTTTGGAAAAACTCTGGTGGATAAATAGTTATCTGGGGTGGAGTGATTGTGGCAGCAGGTTTCTTTTCGGTGGTACCAAAAAGGCCATTTAAGAAAGACAGAACACGACCTTCTTCCTTGGGCGGCTCTTCGGTTTTAACCCAGGTGAGTGGTGTCACTTGTCCTGTTTTTAAATCCACCAGTGACTGTCCAACGTTATAGGGTTTTGGAATCGCAAATTGGCTATGCGGAGCCTATGTTACTGCCTGACGTCCCGTGGACTTATTGGCCGAATTCGATTTGCGACGTCTCAAGACATACGAAACACCCGGCAATTGACTAATCGAATTCATGACATTTCCAAGGGAATAGCTACCCTGTTGACGTGCTTGTGAAGCTACATCTTGCAGCTCCTCCAGAAATACTTCCTTTTTGGGTTCAGCATTTGCGCGGCGACGACGTGGCTCGGCCATGGCCGATTGCAGGCACAAAACGGCCAAGACCGTTAACGCGAAAATTTTCAACATCTTTGATGTTCGTTCGAGGATAGACTGAAGTAAAACTTTCCATCGATCGGCAATATATGTTAAACACTTGAAAAGAACGACGTAGGCCCAACCTGTAGGCCGTAACTGAATTGGTAATAAGTTCGATTTGCCTTTGTCGCTCAGGTCATTTGCTATTCACATTTACATTGGCATATTTGTAACGTTGTGATTTTTATTTCATTGTGCAAATGTAAATATTCAAATTTGGCAAATGCCTATGACGACAACAACAACGACACCTGTAAAGCCTCTCGGAATATTTGAAGGAATATACCGGTATGTGAGTCAACACTTTCACTTTAGCCGGGGTGGTAGGCCTAATGGTGTGAATTTGTGAATACATTGATTTGAATTAAATTTATTGCCAAAAGTAACCAAATGATGGGCATGATTGAAATCTGTCCGAAATCGAATTCAAATTTCTAAATTGAATTTTATGATCGCAAAATAGTTAAATTAGTCGGAAATGTTTATTTTTAAACTAAGAAATGAAAAGTATTTTACTTAAAATCAGATAACACAGTGCAATAAAAAAATTAAATAAGAAAACCGAGTAGATTATGAGAGAAGTGCTAAAAATATTAGACACGTGCGTTGGCATTTTGAAAATTAACATCGGGAAATAACCACAATTGGATGGGAAAACTATGCCAATTTTAATGTATTTTTTTGAAAATATTCGAGCTAAGGTTCCTAGGCTCAAATACGAACTTAAGCTACTTTCCCACATTTTCATAGACACATATATACGTGTGTCGAACTTTGGAAGAAATTTAGAAGAAACTTTAAAATTTAAAAAAAAAAAAAAAAATCCGAAAACTACCACTTAAATGAAAACCGTTATATGGAAACTATACGAAAACGTTGACCTGCTTACGAAATTTTTTATCATAGGCTGTAGTACCCATTACGAACTTTAAATACGAAATTTGTTACAATTACTGTGAAAAATGTCGCAAAAATTATGGAAATCCCGGGAATCCCGGGAGGCACGGCCATATGGGGGGCTATAAGAAGACGTGGACCTGCATACGAAATTTTTTGCCATAGCTTGAAGTACACTAAGATCTTCCAATAAGAAATTTGACACGATTCCGGTGAATAATGTCGCTAAAATCATGAAAATACCAAATATCGGAAGGTGTCGTTATATGGAGGCTATACGAAAACGTGGACCTGCACAGACAATTTTCTGCCTTAGGCTGTAGTATCCATTACGACCCTCAAATACCAAATTTGAAACAATTCCGGTGAATAATGTCGCTAAAAGCATCAAAATGCCGAATATCGGGAGGTTCGGTTATATGGGGCTATACGAAGACGTAGACCTATGTACAAAAATTTTTGTCGTAGGATGAGTACCCACTACGAATTTCAAATACGAAATTTGAAACGATTCCGATGAATAATGTCGCTAAAATCATCAATATAGAAAATATCGGGAGGTACTGTTATATGGGGGCTATACGAAGACATGGACCTGCATCAACCATTTTTGTCATAGGCTGCAGTAACCACTACGACCCTCAAATAACAAATTTGAAACAATTCCGATGAATAATGTCGTTAAGATCATGAAAATACCGAATATCGGGTGGTACCGTTATATGGAGGCTCTACGAAGACGTCGACCTGCACAGACAATTTTCTGTCTTAGGCTGTAGTATTTATTACGAGCCCCAAATACCAAATTTGAAACAATTCCGATGAATAATGTCGCTAAAATCATGAAAATAGCGAATATCGGAAGGTACGGTTATATGGGGGTTATACGAAAACGTGGACCTGCACAGACAACTTTCTGTCTTAGGCTGTAGTATCCATTATGACCCTCAAATACCAAATCTTAAACAATTCCGATGAATAATGTCGCCTAAATCATCAAAATATCGAATATCGGGAGGTGTCGTTATATGGAGGCTGTACGAACACGTAGACTTACACAGACAATTTTCTGTGTTAAGCTGTAGTATCAGCAACGACCTTCAAATACCAAATTGGAAACAATTCCGGTAAACAATGTCGCCAAAATCATCAAAATACCGAATATCCGGAGGTATCGTTATATGGGGGCTGTCCGAAGACGTGGACCTGCACAGACAATTTTCTGTCATAGGCTGTAGTATCAGCAATGACCTTCAAATACTAAATTTGAAACCATTCCCGTAAAAAATGTCGCTAAAATCATCAAAATACCGAATATCGGGAGGTATCGTTATATGGGGGGCTATACGAAGACGTCGACCTGCACAGACAATTTTCTGTCTTAGGCTGTAGTATCAGTAACGACCTTCAAATACCAAATTTTAAACAATTCCGGTGAATAATGTCGCAAAAATCATGAAAATACCGAATATCGGAAGGTACGGTTATATGGGGGCTATACGAAAACGTGGACCTGCACAGACAATTTTCTGTCTTAGGCTGTAGTATTTATTACGAGCCACAAATACCAAATTTGAAACAATTCCGGTGAATAATGTCGCTTAAATCACCAAAATACCGAAAATAGGGAGGTACAAATATATGGAGGCTATACCAAAACGTGGACCTGCACAGACAATTTACTATCTTAGGCTTTAGTATCCATTACGAACTTCAAATAACAAATTTGAAACAATTCCGATAAATTATGTCGCTAAAATCGTCGAAATACCGAATATCGGGAGGTACCGTCATATGAGGGCTATATTAAAACGTGGACCGACATTGCCCATTTGCGAAATTAATCTGCCTACTGGTAAATTTTTGCATGTATGTGAAATTTCTTCTCAATTCGTTCGAGAGATAGCGTGATTACAACAGACAGACGGACATCGCGAGGTCGTCTTAGAAATTTACTCTGATCCACAATATATGTAATTTAGGTGGAGGGTATAAAAACATCAAGTGCGGATTTATTCTTATATGTGGATTGATATGAATCATCTTTCATACCTATGAGTCTAGAGATAATCCAAATGTCTCTATTTTATTTCAAAGCTCTATCCTAAATCTTACACGAAAATAAAGCGCAATGTGTTGAGGATCCTTTGTGAATGGTTGAGGCTATATGAAGCTCCCTAAAAATCCCACAAAAAATATGTCTTCCTCTTCCCACAAAAAATGTAAAACTTAGTCCATTAAAAAAAAAAAACTTCAGCATTTTTTCTAATTTCATTTATTTCATAATTTCTGTTTTAATCATAGCTGTTCTCCTTCGTAGACCTTTTGGCCCGACGACCAGTGATACGTCCATTTGCCTGGTTTATTTTCAGTTGTTTCCGATCCATCACCGTCGTTTCTGGTCTGTGAAGCTTCAGTGGTTGTTGTAGTCGTGGTAGTTGTTGTTGATGATGTATCTGGCTGCGGTGTTGTTGTTGTGGTTGTTGTTGTTGGTGGTGGTGGGGGATAGTATGGATAGTAAGGATATGGTGGATAAAATGGTGGTGGTGGGTAATAGTCATAGTATGGTGGATATGGAGGATATGGGTAGTTAGGTCTTCGCGTTGTTGTGGGAGCTGGTGTTGTTGGTGGTGGAGGTGGCGGAGGAGGAGGAGGATATGGATAATGTGGATAGTGGGGATAATAGTGTGGCGGTGACGTTGGTTTTGGTGGCGGCAGTGGATAATAATGCGGTGGCGGATAATAATGCGGTGGTGGATAGTAAATTGGCGGTCTTGGCCGTCTTGTTGTCTGTTTGGTAATCAAAATTCTGGACAATTGATCCAATGAAATTGGCACCACAATGCCACGTGTCGGGATGCCGGTACTGCGGTTAACCTGCACAATTTCTTCGTATTGATAACTGGAGGGGTCATATGGAGTGGGTTCCGTTTGACTTTCACCATAGTCTTCAAAGTCTGCTGCTACCACACCAGGCTCATAGTCTTTTCTCACCGCAGCTGAGCCACGCGACTTAGCAAATCCACAGCCGAAATAGCAAAATATTAGTAAACAAAATATCAACGGACGAATCATTTCCGATTCGTTTGCCAAGAGAATTATCCAAAGAATAACTGATTCTCGAAGTCATCGAAGGTGTTTTATAATATTTTGGAGAATTTTACCATTTCATCAAGTCAATTGGTTATTAATGTGCTATAATTATAAATTCATAGCTTTAGAACTAAAGAATAGTTCATTGTTCTATATTTTTTCGAAATTTTATTGTGAAGACAAGCAAAAATAAAAGTGGTAAACAGATAAGTCTTTTCTCTAAAAGAGAACATCTCTTGTTTACGATGCTATTGTAAGTGACAAAAGAAGTCAGATAAGTGCCTGTTTTAGTAATGTGTTCCCAATTTTCAACCGTTATGAAGGTTATTTAGTCGACAAGAGTATTATAAAAAGGTGTTTAAATATAAACCAATATTTACAGTTCAGACCAAAGACAGAACTGTCCAACTTAGCGAAATTAAAAAAAATAAAATTGATGTTGGATTTGTTTACTATTTTACAGAACCGATATATTTTATAAATATTAAAAGTCTAATTCAAACTAGTTAAAAAGCTGTAAGTTCGGCCAGGCCGAACTTCGAGGACCCTCCACCATTTGGAACGAATTTGGCAATTTTCATAGGCAACTTTTGTCATAAGCTATTACAATATTCAAATGTGAAACTTGGAAAAAATCTATTAATAATGTAGCTAAAATCATCAAACTACCGAATATTGGGAGGTACTATGGGGGTTATACCAAAACGTGGACCTGCACAGACAATTTTCTGTCATAGGCTGTAATATCCATTACGAACTTCAAATACCAAATTTGAAAAATTCCAGTGAATAATGTCGCTAAAATCATCAATATACCGAATATTGGGAGGTACCGTTATATGGGACTAAACGAAGACGTGGAACTTCACAGACAAACTTTGAATACCAAATTTGAAACAATTCCGGTGAATAATGTCGCTAAGATCATCAAAGTACCGAATATCGGGAGGTACCGTTATAAGTGGGGGTTATATCAAAACGTGGACCTACATGGCCAAATTTACCAATACCAAAAGTCCTGCAGACATAATATACATTTGAGTAAAATTTTATCAACTTGCTTCAATTCGTTAGGAAGCTAAAGTGATTTCTACAGACTGATAGACGCACTGACAGACGGACATCGCAAAATCGAAATAGAATTTTATGCTGAATATATCAGAATATATCTTTGAGGGGTCTAAAATGTATATTTCGAGTTGTTACAAACTGAATGATAAATTTAATATACCCTCCATACTATGGTTGAGGGTATAAAATTACCTTGAGAATATATGGTAAGGTATTAAGACACACTATCACCATAATTTATGAGTCGCTTTACTTGGAGACTTTCAGGGTCTTTGTAAGGCCGATAAAGGATCTATCGAGCCTGTTATCATCCCTATACCACAATTGTTGGCACAAATCGAACTATTACTATTTTCTACTGATTCAGAAGAGGGATGCACAACCACTCCAGACCCAATCTGAGGTTTAATGGAATTTCCCCTCCCACTCATTATATTTCATAGAAGCATATAAAAGGCTCCCATTTTTCTTTCTTTCTACCTCTTTTAGTAGATGCCACATGCGCCCAGTTCCATCATATATTAAAGTGAACAAGGATCATTATGTGCTTTCATGAGGAGATCAATTGCTTATTTTTACAGCTAAAAACCTCAACGCCAAATACAAAGCAGATATACCCAGCCTTTCACCCAGATTCATCTTGTCTGATTAAAGGTAGTTCCTATGATGACCTTCAATCAGCATAGAAAGGCCCTCGGTTTTTTCATCCTGACAAGCATTGATTGCCTTTCTCATCTCATCTTGAAGTATCCTTCCTAAGGCACCTGCCCTAAGCTCTAGCTCACTTGGGGTTACATTAATGACTTAAGCCCCTTCAAAAAGTCTTACATTGCCCTGATCAACCTCACCCGAGAAAAATATATCCGAACATGACCCTTGTCTAGAAATCAATGACTATTGCCGAGTTAAAGTCGCGATCAGCCTTAACAGCGATTGTCACTCTCAGGTCCTTCGAGATACCCTTCTTCCGTTCATTTTTGCCTTTTCTTCAACGAAAAAGTATGTGGATTGGCTGCAACATTGCATCTTCAGTATTGCCAATTTTATTCTCTGGTAATGCCCGACGTACCGGCTTCGCCTTTCTGCTTGTCTCAGACGATTTGTGAGCTTGAGGCGTACAGAAACCGTATAAAGAGAAACTACCAAATATCCATATCGCGGATAGAATTTCGAACACCAAGGTCACTTCCTTGTGTACGTCCTGTTGTGAGCCATCTCAGCCCGTTTGTTTCGTACACAAATCCTCATGCTGTAATAGACTATTTTGGGAATGGTGGATTTGTTTCTTTTTTAAATTAAACAACTTATTTCAACTAACAAGGTTTTAAATATTGAGATTGTAGGCAAAGTTAAGAGGTGTAGGAATTTTCCGAAAGGCCAAGTAAGAAAAGTTCCCTAATGAACTTAAGGTTCATTCTGATCCAGTAAACCTCTATGTCATTGATTTTATCAGAACCCTTTTAATCCATGACATCATTATCCTTGTCACACTTCGTGGCCAAAATCGAGGGGCGCCCGAACTATGCTGGCGGTGATCTTAAAACAGTTTTTTGATAGTCTACATCGAGCGTCATATTCCTTGGGCGCCTAGGAATCAAGATTCCGATTACATATAATCGCTACAATGGAGGGCGTAAAGTCTGTTATGACTCCGGCATTAGGAAGTCTTCTGCGTAGGTAAAATACCAGTGAGCACGATTTCATACAAGTAATGGTTTGAACCGATTATACCTTAGCCATATGGCTACAGAGGGTATACATCATCTGATACGGTCAAAGGTGCCCCATTGCAAAATTATACCCTAGGTCCCTTTGGGCCAAATCTGTTTCAGGACATTTGGAGTCGATCTAGAGGTGTCCGTCCGTCTGTCTGGCTAGTGCGCACACACAATAACTGTCGAAGGGAACATCCGATTTGATTCAAACTTTATACATCGTACTATTGTTGTCAAACTCAGATCAAGTTCGGAGATGGGCAGTATATAGTTCCACTCCATCTGGTACCTCCCCCACAAAAGTTAAAAATGTTCACAGAAAATAATTTTCCGCATACCACAAGAACGGTTCATCCAATTTTTGTACGCGTAAAATCTGAAGAGAGTTGGATGCTTATTTCGCTTTCTTCCGGGGTTTTTTATTTTCCTCTAAATCTTGAACCCTATATGAGGAGGTATTTAAAAAAAATTGATCTGATCTCTCCCATCTTTTAACAAATCTTGTGTTGATGGAAGTATCGAGATATAACAAGTTTCAATGGGATTGGATGTCAATTTCGCATTTTATGAGCTTTATAGATATTAAAAACTTCGATCTTTTGTCGGCGACGTACCAGAAGGATTGGACTATTTTTGAAAATGTTGACGTTTTGTGGGGGTGGTACCAAAAGGAGTGGACCGATAATGCCCATCTCCGAACATGATCTAAGTTTGTTAATAATGTTACGATACACCAAGTTTGGGCCAAATTGAATACTCCATTCGAGAGTTTTCGTGCGCCCCAGCCAGCCAGACGGAGGGCAAGACGGACGCACATCGCTAGATCGACTCCAAATGTCCTGAAATATATTTGGTCCAAAGTGATCCAGGGTCTAAAACCGTTATTTCGATGTGACACGTTTTGACCGTATCAAATGATATATACCCTCTGTAGCCATAGGGCTGAGGGTATAAAAATTGGTCATAAAACTGTAGTTTCAGACTGATGCATTCTGCCACATTACAAAACACTTCGTAAAACAGATTTTCACAATAACTTATTTATTTATTATAATACTTGAATTTTTGTATGTTTTTTATCGAAAAACGTGGTAACTCCATTCACTCTGCCTTGGATAGGGTGGCATCATTTATTTCCATATAATTTTTCACTTCCACATCATTTTCCATTTTCTCTTCACTCTTCAATTTCATGTTGGATTCTTCCATTTCTGGTTGTCCGACTCCTGGTTTTTCCATTCCCGATTCTTCCATTTCTCCCGAGTCGAGAGATTTTCCTCGCCGTCTTCCGGTGCTGCGAGACGATGTCAAATACGAAAATACACTACCGCTGGATCGAGTCTTGGACCTAGCAGTCTCCTCTTCCTTATTTCTAGAGGATGGTGCATCCACTACCAACTGCCAACGGGCTCCATTCGAACCGGGCAACAATGCCGAGAATGGTAGCCACCACGAGAAGCGGTTGGGCGCCGCTGTTGTGGGTGCTGGCGTTGTGACTGGAGCAGGAGTTGTAGGTGTCTCTGATGTACTGGCCAATAGCTGTTGAATATAGTTCTGTAAGAGCAATTGCGTCAGATAGGCTTGAGGATTCACAAGCGGGGATGTACCCAGTAGGGAATTAAGCGGCACTGTTGTTGCCGGTAGGATATTATTTGTCGCCGACGGGATTGTAAGGGGAACACTGGACAAATAGGCAGCCAATACGTTTGCCGGTATGGCAGCACCGGCCTGAGCGGCCTGTGCGGCAGCCAATAAAGGATTTGTGGCCAACTGGGTTAGTCCCAGAGCATTGGGCATTGCTGCTAACAAAGCCAAGGTTGCTGCACTATTTGCTGCTGCGGTACCTGTCAAGGCAGTACCGGCCAGTACGCCGGCTGGGGCTAGTGTAGCTTTGGAACCGGCTAAAGCTGCCAGAAGGGTGGCCGGCAGAGCCTTTAAAGCTGAATTCTTTCCCAATTCATTGTTGCGGCCCAATTTCTCTGCATTCAATTGCAGTTCATTTAAATCATTCAAATTATTTTTCAAGTTATCGGCACGTTCCAAAGCATCTGCATTGTACTGCAACTGCCTCAATTGTTGTAAATTATTTCCCAAGTTTTCGGCATTGCTCAAAGACTGGAGCTGCTTGAATTGTTGCAAGTGATTTCCAAAATTAGCCACATACTGCAGTTGTTCCAATTGTGCCAATGGATTGGC